TTAATTTACCTCGTAATTTTTTTTTGGTGCACGACAGATGTTTATAAGATAAATTTCGTTTTAAATTTCAAATTGCGATCCATCGGCAATTATAGAATTGATGCCGAAATAATAATTTAATGATCATGGGGTGAAATAACGTAAATCGTAATTAAAAAAAAATAAAAAACAAATTTTCCGAAAATCTATTTTTACCTTTTAGTAATTGATTTCATATAGATATCTACGAATTATCCTTAAAACACAATCGCGAATTTCCGCGTGGAAGAGGCGATTGGAAGATCAATAATAAATTAGTTACTTTCTTTGGTAAACTCCACGTTGATCACCCGGACGCTCTCATACCTGCACGTCGTTAACTTACATGTTCCTACAAATTAACGTTTACTTAAATTTGGTAAAAACTGAATGTTTGAAACCATACAATATTATCGCATATAAATATAATGCTGCCAATTATAAAAGCAAGTATAAAACGCGATACATTTTCTTTTTAACGTAATCAGCGGTTTGTGGTATTATTTATTTATTTATTTATTTTTTTTCATTTTTTCATTTTAAATATTTAATAATTTTAATATAAAGAAACATCTTTGTAATGCTTTCTAAAAAGTAAAAATAGAAACATAACAAAAAATAATCCTTTCGCTTAGAATTAATTTAAAAAAAAAATTCGCGGAGCTATCCCGTCAACCCCGAACCTTAATAATCATTGACGAATGTTTTAAAAACAAAAAAAAAAAAAAAAGAAGCTCTTGATGTTTTTTTTTTTAAATAATTCTCAACAAGAATAATATTCATAGATCGAGTTGAGCTCGCTTATTATTCTTTTCTTTTTTTCTAAATACATTATTTTCACTCTTAAAGGTCTTAAACATGAGAATAGAAATCGTGCTTAGTGTGCTTAGCATACTATTATCGGTGTTAAGTCTTGTGCATATAACTCGAATAATGATGTTTAATTTCAACCCCTTCCTTCATATAACATGTTTGATTGGATCTTTGGTTATCCTGATTATTGGTATATTGGATCTTGTGAATTCGTTTATAGTGATTGAGGATTACCCAAGTATATATTTCCTTTGCACATCGTTAACATCAATCTTGGCTTGTTATATTATTTTACAAGTTGGGATAAATTTTTATCAAGAATACACTTTCATAAGAACATTAATGATATTCGCTCCTATAGCGGTGTCGATAGGAGTATTTGGTTTATCAATATTCACGGCAATTAAAAAGATTTTTAACGAAGATGAGAAGGCAACAAAAGATTTCGAAATCATCACATATTACTTGAGTTTGGCAGCGGGAACGTTGAGCCTAATTTACGGAATATTTCCATTATTCTCTATCAAATCTCAAACCGATCTTCGACCACAACAAACCGCAGTTGCCATTGTACATTTCTTTATCGTTGTAAGCTTCTTTATAGCCAATTTTGTAATTTACTCACTCATCATATTGAACAATCCAACGTTATGGGAGATGAAGATTCGTTTTATACAAAATGTGATCTTACTCTTAATATTTCCCGGTTGTCTATTTGCCCCTCCAAGGGGTCTCGTTAAATTTATTAAGAGAAGGATATTGGGAGTCGAAGTGTTAACCATTGGTGGTGATTATCGTCCAAACATGCTACCGAACGATTATAGTAATACGGATAGATTGACGTTCCTGAGGGGTGGTGATAATAAAATTAAATCTTTACCTGCTTTACCACCTTTACCACCAGTTTCAATATCAATTCCGTTAGTTACATCCCCCCCTACTTTATCGGGACCAAATTCGGCCTCACCGAGATCAATTTCAAATTCGAGATTAATTCCAAATTCTTCTTCACCAACACCAGTTCCAAATACTTATTCACCCAGACGATTTTATTATAACAGTAACGCTAGTTATTCAAGTAACAATACAACAAATAGTTTGAGTTATAGTGTGAATTCTCAGGAAACAGATCCCAGTTTTTACCTAGATAATTTCCGTTACATCCCTTCAGATGGTGGCGACCCTAGATTATTTCCTTAGAGATAGAAAAAAAGGGGGTTTTTTTTTTTTTGAATTTTATTAATGATAGAAAAAAAATAAATAAATAAATACCTAAATCTTTCATTATTATATTTATTTCAATTAATGCTTCTGTAATTACTACATAATTTTTTAATTAATAATGTAGGAAAAATAATAATTTTTTTTTTTCCTTAAAACAATAGCTTGTAATGAATAATTTTTTTTCTTTTACGGATTTGATTTTTCAAAATAATAATAATAATAATAATTACGTATCAAATTGTTGACGCACCCAAAATCCTGCGAAATTGGTTTTTGAAAAAAATATTTTTTAACTTTATTTTTTTTATTAATAAATTTACGAAATCATAAAAGATTGTAATATTCTCTAATCTATTTCCAATCTAAACAAGCTCTAATTTCGACTATAATTTCGACCGCCGAGCTAGCACGGATCACGTAAGTCTAATAGATTGACGTTGATATTATAAAAAAAAAAAAAATGGGTTCTTATAATCATTGTGAAATTTTATTATTTACTAAATCCATAAAGATTTGTTGAGTTTGTTGGATTGTGAAACTACCAATAAGAAAGATATTCAACAAGTTTGTGTAATTTCCGTCAAAATAATCAGACTTTAGAGTGGAGATATCGTTGACGACTATATCAAGTAAATCTAGAAATCTTTCAACTAGTTTATGATTGGTTCAATTGTAATGTTTTTAACATTGAGATAATGTTTGTTTGACGCGTTTTTGAAGTCATTACCTAATTCATGTATAGTAAATATTACGTTATTTTAATCTTATTACAATCACTTCATTCCCCATTATATTTTTCTACGTGCGTATCATGCGTAAAAAAAATTTTTTGTTTCTTTAAAAGAAGTATGAGCAGTCGAAGATCATTTCTGTAAGATAATTTTCTAAAATTTGTGTATAATCAATGTAACTTAGGGTTAGACATGAAGTTAGGGTTTTGAGGTTTCGTTTTTTGAGAGTGGAAAATAAGACATTCGTCCATGAATAAATAAGTTTTTGAAATGATCGAAGCTAGCCATTTTTTTTTATCATTGACGAAAACCATTTTCATTAATTGCCGAATTCTTTGAATCAAAATACATTAAAGAAAATAATATTTGGTTTACATTTATTGACAACAAAAGGAAAACTCTACAATTTTTTTTTTGTTAGCCCAATATAGTGATAATATTTGGTGTAAAGACCCTCTCCTCGACCTACTTTTGGAAAACATTTCTATCCAAATTAGGCACCATAGGAATAGATTTTTTTTCGAATTCTTATTTTAAAAATAGCGTGTAAATGGCTAGTTTTAATTATTCCAAAAATGTTTTATTTTTTCATATTTTCTAATTGCAAATTTAAACCTTAAAAACTTTTACTCAAAGACAAAATTGTACTTTATCTTTTTTTTGAAAAAGAATAAAATAATTTAGATTAATTTATTTTTTCAAGAATATACATAAACTTAAGAAATAAAACGATAACATCGTTTGTATACTTTATTCTAAGGTAGAAATATGCCTATCAAAATTATCAAACGGTTCTTTGACAAACTTTGGTCGTAATCTTATCATAAACACATTGTTCAAAGAAACGAAGCAATTCAGCCTCTAATTCTACATCCAGCCTTTTTCATAAGGTTATTTTGTAACGCGTCCATATTAAATTCTCCAAGCAGTAGCAGTTGATGTAAGATTGAACAAGCGGAATTCTGTTTTAACAATGCTAATATCAAATGAACTTTCTTGGTTTTGTGTTTTATCAAACGATTATTTTGCTAACAAATTGGTTGTTACGTTTAAAAAGTGAGAGATTCTAGGAAAGAATTGCAGGTAGTTGAAATTTGTTTGGTTGATCCACCTTCAGTTTGTGAGGAGACAGAAATTCTAAATCAAGCGTCTTATGGATAAAAATATCTATCATCAAAGAATGGCGTTTTTCTAGAAGTAGATTTCATTTTCTCAATGAATTATAATTACAGCGACCTGTTAATTTTACAATATAAAAGTTTGCAAGAGAGTCCAAAGCAAGGATGAGTATTAAATAAATGAATAATCAAAAAATGATTCAAACAAAATTACAATATACATGTATATATATGAATTACCTTTATAGCACGTTCCATTGATAGGGTTTGTTTAATTTGAGTATTTGCCAACAACTACAACGCCGTAATAATTATTGAGAATTATATCATTATTTCTAGAGTATAATATCTTTTTTTTTTTAAATAAAAGGTAAGAAATATTGAAGAAAACAACAATAATATGTTACCTGCACCATAAGTTGCTTTTAACATTTTGTGGTAGCGTTACGTTCACTATAATCTCCAAGCTAATTAAGTCAGCTTATCTCAGCGCTTACAAGATTAACTAAACTGTTTCCGGTACAGAGTTGCTATTGCAAATTGTCCATTTTGATTCAACAAGCACTTCTACCTTTTGGCCTAATTTCTTTCAACGCAGCTCATATCGAACAAGAATTTAAACGATATTTCGTCGCGAATTACTTTGACAAAATGTCAATTGAATTTTTATAATAGTACGATATTACTATACAGGAATGTTTGTTTTTGAATTTTTTGTTCAAATCTCTGATAGAAATTTTCAAGCGTTACAAATCACATGATAAGACTAATCTGAGTCACGTTCAAATTTCACCCATAGAAGCTTATGTTCATCACGATCATGAGATTTTTTTTTTTAAAAAAAAAGTACCATCCTTAAACTGCAATTTTACACTTCCCACCTTTTTTTAGAATAAATAACTAAAAACGAAAGTGAAACGAACTTTATTAATTGAGCGAAACATTTTTACTCTTTAACAAATAAAAAATACCTTCAACGACGAGACAGCAACCACGACAACAACAACGACAACGACAACGACTAGCCGAACAGCCAAGTCAGTAGTGATATCTCCTTTTCCCTCACACACTCATTTAATTTGATTTTTAGGAGCTTTTAAACTTGGGCTAATTCTTGGGAGCTGATATTGAAAGGAACTAATAATTCTTCCCTCAATATTTTTCCCGGATGAACTACGACATTGACACGATAACGATTATGACTACGATGATGAAACGACGTCGATAACTATAGCGACAAGAGTAATATGTTAAACTTATTAAAGGGAATTATCCGAGGTAGCTGCAGGACTTAAAAGTAGATATGCTTATACCTAATGTGTTAATTATTCATTAGAGTTTCGGACTTTTCTAATCAAACAAAATTCTTTTTTATTCTAGATCTTGGATTTTCAATATAGCAGATTCTCATTTCAAAATAATCGATCACATTGTCAAAGAAACCCTACTTGTAAATTTAATTGATCATGTAAGTTTCATACCCATGCTTACACCTAATGCGTCAATTGTTCAAGAACATCCTTGAATTAATACCCATGTGTAATCAGATCTTATTAGAGTATCTCATATATCTGTTTAGAACACATGCGTCACTGAATTACTCTAATCAAACAAAATTCCATTTTATTCTAGATCTTCAAAGAGACTGCTTTTGCAAGTAATTCCTATTTGAAAATTTAATTGATCATGTAAGCTTCATACCTATGCTTAGTCAATTGTTTAAGGACATTCTTGAATTAATACCCATGTGTAATCAGATCTTATTAGAGTATCTCATATATCTGTTTAGAACACATGCGTCACTGAA